CGATCCCGAATCCGGTTGCCCCGAAAAAGCACCGGAGTGCTTTCCGACCATGAGCCCTAGAAAGAACGGCCGTAAACGGGGACCAGGGCTCAACTTGGATTGGTCCATACGCTGTTTTGTCCTTTCTCTCTCACGCACTTATTGCTCATCTTTAAAGCCCTGCATAGACGATCAAATTCCGATCAAAGTAGACATGCTGATGACTGGTGGTCACCATCTACCATCAAATTTTGATGGGCCGCACTTTTTTGTTCAAAGTAAGATCAGAACCGAGTGTTACCATTCATCATTTCCGGCCACACGGAACATTTCTGCCAAGTTTTCATTTTAAAATGACCATATTAATGAGTTTAAGACTGATGACTCCCGACTTTTTGATGGTACTTTGATCGGAGTTGGTTCGGGAATTTGATCGTCTATCGAGGCCTTAATATTTAAACTAACCGAAAACTCAAATTTTCCTCAAATCCTGCTCAACCGAAAACCTGATCGAACCCCTTTAACCAAAACTTTACTGAACCGGAGATCTTACCCACCGGAAAGTCAAATCAATCGACCAATCGTCCGGCCGAATTTTACTTAACCGGAAATTGACAATCGTAATCTCTGCTCGACCGGAAATGTGCCCCAATCGAAAACTTGACCGAACTGGAAATTCGATCCAACCTGAAATCTGACCCATTCCAAAATTCCGATTCACTGGAACCATAATCCATCCGTACGTGCCGTGACCGGAAATGAACCCAACTGGAAACTGTTTCCAACCGGTAACGTGTCCCTGTCGCAAATTTGACTCGACTGAAAATTTGATTCTATTGGAAATCCGACCGACCGGAGGCCACGATCAACGGGAACTGTTATCCACGTTCTTTATTCGTTATTCACTTGACCGGAAATCGAAAATCTTAAATACTTCCCGACCGGAAATGTGCCCCAATCGAAGACTTGACTCGACTGGAAATCGACCCGACCGGAAATGTGTTCAAACCCAAAATTTGGTTATTCTCGGATGGAGAATAAGCAATTTCAATTCCAATAATTATTGATTTTCCTAGTAAATCGCAAATATTCGATATAAGCGGTTCAGATATCGACTCGTTAACGTTAAAGATCGATTCTACAAGAAAAAATAGTAGGTGTCGGTGTAATACAGTCATATAGGTGCATTTAGTCATCCATGAATCAAAAATGAACAATTTCAAGCTAAAAATATCGTCGATTTTCCGTAAAGAATCTTAAAAAATCGATATAACCGATCGATGTATCGACTCGTCAACATGAAAACTCGATTTTGCGTGTAAAAATACGTAGGAACCGGTGTGTATAACATTTGTAAATAACGATAACAACCCCGTAGACACATCAATTCAACAAGAAAATAGCGAAAAATATAGCCAGAGTTTGACCCCCTTGCCCCCCCCCCCCCCCCGTAACTCGAAATCGGTTCCTATACCCATCTTGAAATTATTCCCTCAGTTTTCTGTTATTATTTATAAGCTTTCACTTAAACCTTGATTCGATGGTCGAATCAAATACCGAAAAAGGGGGCGAAATTTTGGGAGGCTCTTTGGCAATAGCTGATGTGGCTCGGTTCCTTTCTGCTAAACGCGGTCCAAACGGTCTCGCGATCTCATATTAAAACAAACAAAATGGAGTTACGTATTTGGGTTGTGGGAGGACCGAGTTTTGTGGCGGTTAGGTGTCGCAGAGCGCCAGAGAGTGCTATGAAAGCGACTTCCGTGCATGTATGTAAAATTAACAATATTTGTAAATGTAACAATTCCATTACTCTTTCCAGTCTGTTGGGGTCCATACTGGGAACATATAAAGCAGGCATGGGATCAACGTCACCATCCAAATATGCTGTTTATATTCTACGAAAACCTGATGAAGGTGAGTCATTCTTTAAAGCATAACAGACTAACAAGAAAAAAATGTATTCCATAAATAATAATCAAAATTGGTCCAAAAAAAACCTGTTAATTGGAGGAATTTTGAGCTGATCTTGATCAGGATTCAATTTTATATAAAGTTCGAACTCTTACATACATGAATGATTTACCTGAATTACATGAATGATCGTCGATCACTGGTAAAAAAAACCTCTTGGTTCAAGAGTGCAGTTTCATGTCGCCGGATTTAAGAGTCTGGACTCTTGTTTCAATGCAAAATCCGCTTGAATCAATGCAAAATCCGCTTGAAACAAGAGTTCAAGACTCTTAAATCCGTTGACAAGAAACTGCACTCTTAAGTTAATGCACCGCGGCATTGGTCCAAGAGGTTTTTTTTACCAGTAATATGCATCGAATTTTGAGAATACGGGGAAACTTGTAGTGCGCCGTCTTTAAAATCTAATGTTATGCGGAAAGCTACTGTCCAGAGCCGAAAAAGTGAACCCCTTCATTTTTTGGCACGCAACACGGACAACTCAGGGACATGAATAGTTTCATCCATCTGGAACTTCAATGTACGTGTCCATCTCCAGAGACTAAGAATGTAAATCAACGAAAGATTCATATCATGAAACACAATATCATGGCCAAAGTGCGAAACTGTGTGCGACGTCGCAGCCTTCCTGTCAATTTTTATATCCTCTCGTCAACTTAATTTCTTGAAAACTCCCTTGATTTTTCCTCTCTATTAGCAGAATATTCCGTATAAACAAGTTATAAATTTGGTCTGTATCTTTTTGAAAAAAATTCAAAAGGAGTATTGAGTTGGGACACTATAATTGAACTGATTCTTTTCCAAATCACGCAAGCGCCAAAATTGCGAATGGGGAAAAAAACCCATTTTATTCGCTTTATTGACAATCTTCGAGATTAAAAAAGGTAGGTTTTTTTAGAGGGCTAATTCGAAATAAGACATAATTGATTATACTAGAGTAAATCAAGGGGAAAAACCCCTCTACCACCGAAATAGAATTGAGGATTGAGAATAGGATTGGTGCTTGAGTGATTTGGAAAATAACCGCTTCAATTGAGGTACGTGGTTTGGCATTTTAGCCATCGATATTTATTAGTTTCCTTCGGAGAAAAATTGAGGAGTTTACAAACCTGCACGTACAAATCAAAATGTGTTTTTGGACCTCAAATATTAAAATTCATCAACATGCATTGCAGACGAGTGGATAACCTAATTTTGGAGAGAGATTAATCGGTAACCTCTGATTGATAGATTGTTTCTTTATTCCGTACCAGGACATGTTTTCAGAGGTGAAAACCATCGCGAGGTTCTTGAATGTGAAATATTCCGATGAAGATCTACACCAGCTCGTAGATCATTTGGAGATTGACAATTTCCGACAAAAAGTACCATGCACCACTCCCGAGCTAATAAAAGGGATCTCAGAGGACGGCCGGAGACTGGAATTCATCCGGCGGGGTACGTCTATTTTTCTCAGACTCCATACAGGGTGTTCGAGAAGTCTCGCCCCGCACCTAAATTTACAGAATGCAACGAAAAAAGCTCTAAACATAAAATAATTTTTTTTTATAAAGATATTTGCTTTTGAAAGTATGAGGCATACCTAAAACTGGGCTTAAGATGATTCGTTAAGCTTAAGTGACGAGGTCGAACTGGCATGCGATATATCGCATCGATTAGGTCAAAAATCTCGGCAAATTTTGAATTTTCAGCAAAAAAAGGACGATATCCCCTGCTCATAAGCTAAAGAATCATTCCAAACCCAAAAATCGGCAAAATGCAGAGAAATGAAAGCAGAATAGTGTTTGGAAAGAAAACCTCGCATTCGACACGGAAATCGATAGCTGAATCGAATGCGAGGTTTTTGTTCCAAACACTACTCTGCTTTCATTTCTCTGAATTTTGCCGATTTTTGGGTTTAGAATGATTCTGTAGCTTATGAGCAGGGGATATCGTCCTTTTTTTGCTGAAAATTCAAAATCTGCCGAGATTTTTTACCTAATCGATGCGATATATCGCATGCCAGTTTGACCAAGTCACTTGAGCTTGACGATAACCCCTCGTCCTAGGTAGTTTTGATTCAACTAGTCGTACATTTTCTCTCGTCAAAAATTAAAAATATTACGAACGGAAAAACAGTCGTGAATTTTTGTCCTTAACCTTTCATCTTCCGGGGAAATTAACTTTAAACCTCTTATCCTCGGTTCAAACTCAATTGAACTTGATGGCTTTCTGATAAAATCGATCCAATTCTACTTTTAGTTCCTCCCCTAGTAAAAGTGGAGCATTTTGACATTACTATATTGTCACGATGGCATCTGCTGTGTGTTTCATGAAGCAGATGGGTGATGAAAGAGCACTCCGCCATCATATAGTGATATCATACCTGAATGCTCAGATTGATGCCAGCGTGACATTAAAATGATTTGTTCCATAAAACATTGTGATGTCACAATGACGAGGTCATTATGTTCCACTTTTAATGGGGTCGTTGCAAGACGTAGTCTAATTTCTAAGTTTCCCGTTAAAACTGTGCTGTAGTGTACTGCCATGAAGCGGCAAGCCATTGACAGGACCGGGGAAGTAAAAACCCCTTCATTTTTTGACACGCAACATAGACAACCCAGGAACACGAATAGTTGCATTCAGGCGCTATAATGAAAGTGTCCGTCTCCAGAGGCTGAGATTTTAAAGCAACGTAAGAACCAACCCAAGAAACTTACAGGCATCTGAAGAGGCGTGGGTTTTCTGTTCCTTTCAAAAAGAGGGTTTTTTCACTTCCATATTAATACGTTGAACAATCTTTCATAATTTAATCATAAACATTTAACTTTTTTTTTTTTTTAGGAAAAACCAATGGAGGTGACCCGGAGCTAACTCCAGAGTTAAGCAGGGAGATAGACGAATGGATTGAGGCCAATCTCCAAGACACTGACTTCAGATTTCCGGTTAAAAGCCACTAATGTTTGGACTCCGTTTAGCAGAAAGGGACCAAGCCACATCAGCTGTTGCCACATTCAAATGGGCAATATAATTTTTTACAAGAGAACGGGCAATTAAATTTTTTACAAGAGAACGTTTGTGCGGAGTCCTTTGAACATTTTAAGGAATTATCCTCGTACTATGCAGAAATTCACGGAAATTTGTACAAAAATCAGCACAACCGTTTTCATGTAAAAAATTAAATTGCCCAGTTGCATTTGGCAATAGCCGATGTGTGGCTTGGTTCCAATCTGCTTAACGCGGTCCATTTGTGGGCCGTCTTAAGATTCGGTGTGGCGTAGAGAGACAAGATCACATAATTTTCCAGGTGTTTGAAGAAATATAGCGCCTTTCTCACCATTTCATTTAACACACATCATTATGCGGAAAAATTGAACCTGAATCAGCCTAAGTACACTTTGCTTTGCCTAATTTCTTCCTTTGATTTATTTTTTTTTACGAGAAAACTAAGTGACATAAAGCCTTGAAACTTTCCACAAATTGCCCTTGGAGTGTAAAAAAACGCACCCACGTTTCAAAGCAAAATTTTTCTTCGTGTTCTTGTAAAAAAATGGACCATGCAAAGAAATGAGGCAAATCCCGATGTACCTACTTAGGTTGATGCTTATATCACAGTCTCTTGTTTCTACCTGAAAAACAAATTTAGAACCTAGAATCACTTTTTTGCAGAAGGGATGATAGAAAAAGGTTGAAAGCGTCTCGCGAAAAAGGATATGGCATGCATGTTTTCAAACTACACGATTCAAATGACCGAAATATATATTTTTTTCATGATTCAGTGCTCATCCAGATGTTTTTAGTTTGAAGAACCTCAATGATAGTGCCCAAAAAAAATCTTTTTCGTCATCAATTTATTTGTTTCGCACACAGCTTCTGTTAAAGCCATAAGAGATGTTCAGGCAAATATATGAATGCCTAAAAATTAACAGTGTGAATTGAGACAGAGTCGTGCCTAAGTATGACTTAAAGTAGTTCTACTTGAAACGGTTAAATTTCACGCTAGTTTATCTCTTTAAAGAGTGTGAAACATGAGATCAAGCTTGCATAAAGATTTTTCACGGACATTCAGAGAGTTACTCCTCCGTCCAAAGGATAATGCAAAATCTGGAATGGAGTTACACCGTTTTTGCCGTGGATGGTAGAATCCTGCCGTGCTGAGAAAAAACGCCGTATGAACATTCGAAAGTTGCCAAATTTCACCGGATAAAACATGTATTTTTAGAAAAAGTTGAGTATATTTTTCCTTGAAATTTTCAGATATTTTAGATTAGACAGTAGACACCTTACAAAGAAGTCCGAAAAATTCGAGGAAGAATATTCTCAATTTTTCCAGTAAATTCGATTTTCATCGAAACAGATATGACAACGCATGAAGGTTCATACGGCGCACAGTGGATCGAGAGCGAGACAATTACAGAGGTCGGACATGAAATTTTTTCAGTATAACTGTAAATTTTGGTGTTTATTTTGTCACATTTTACATTACAAGGAGTGCTTAATAAAGAAAATTTCACAAGGAAACCAATGGAGCCAATTTTAGAGCCTCAAAGTTTTGATAGACGTAGTTAAAAGCGTTCAAAGTTTCCAAATTTTGTCCGACCTCTCCTATTGGCTCGATCCACCGTGCGGCGCTTTTGCTGTGGATGGGAGAATGGATCATACTAGGCCTAGCAGGTGCAGTTGCCAAACGTTGGGTAGGTCCCATTGGCGTACTTGGTGTAGCCTGGGTATATCGAGTAAACCGACTCATTTAATTAAGCGGGTCAACTGCTGGCAGTTATCCAACGTTATCCCTCTCCCGTTTATCCCTTTGAAGAGGTGCAAGAGAACCGAGGAAAGTGCGATTAGGGGGCCCTTGAAAAAACTAGGGACCACCATCTGTATCGACTGAACTAGGAAGCAAGCCCTCGAAAAGGGTTTTCGCGTTGTAAACTCCGCCCGTCAAATCTGCCAGTTTGACACCGGTGAAAGAGTTGACAGTGCCGGTGTTGCCACCGAGCGCTAGGGTTTGTGGGTTAACAAGCCCTGTGGCAATTAAATCGCCAAAGAAGAGGGGCAGAGTGTACTCGTCGTCGAAAGCTCTCCTGTACCAGTTCTCGGGAATGCGTTCATGACCTGATAATAAAAAACAGAAGATGGAGTTAGAGCTGATTCGTTGGTATCACAAACATGGCGGATCCAGAGTTACTCGGAGGGGGGGGGGGCATT